TCTTGTTTTTGGTAGCACATGGATGCTCTTTTTTGGGATGCAAAATCCCCGTTTCAATGCTCAATGCTAGGATGTTTGGGATGAATTTCTGTTGTTTTTTTATTTATTTAATTTTTGGATGGATATGAATCTGAATAAGTGATAGAATATGGATTGGGTGGAAGTAGAACACAGGAAAAACAGAGCTTAGTCTCTCATTCGCCCCGATATGGCGGTTGACAGTCACTATTCAGGCAGCTGTTATAGCGCCTGAACATCACATGTTAACAATGCAAAAAAATTATTTTTTAAATTTTAAAATTTAATATTTTAAATAATTTAAATTTTTATTTTGTTAGTTATTTTCAATTCAAATTTAAAAATGTTAAAAATTCTAAAAAACTTTAAACGTATTCTTTTCTAAAATTTAGAAATAATTGTTTTCTAATTCTTTTATTTTATAAATAATTAACTGACTATACATGTGACTAATGTCTATATTTTTTTGGATTCTTATTTTTATCCTAATCAGAATACTTAGCTTTATTATTGGCATCTATTTAATTATTTTAAAATTTTGTATTTATTTCAAAATAAATAATCAGTTGATTTCAAACAAAACAATTTTTGATAGTCAATTAAATTTTTGCAGTTTCAAAAATCTGGATCATTATGTAAAATTTTCAAACAGTTAATTTCAATTTAAAAATCAATATAGAAGGCAGTTTAAGTTTTTTTTTTTTGTTTGCTTTCATAGTCAATTAAAAAAATATAACCATACCAGTTTGTTTTACAAAATAACTCCCCACGTTTTGTTTTAAAAAAAAATATAATGACTGTTTAATACCTATTTGTGGCTTTCATGTGAAGGTACATTTCTATTTTTATTTTTTTGATTGGAGATTATGATATACATGGTAATTTTGATATATATTTTTGTTAAAAAATACAACTTTGATAATAATCCATCATTTCTTGAAGTTTTTGTCAAATTACTTAGTTATGTCAAACTGTTAAATAGAGAAATGATAAAAAAAAAAAAAAGTATCACAATATAAGTTGTTGAAATCATTTCCTCCATTCAAATAACTTTTAAGTACAGCTATTTGCACTTAGGTTATTATTTTTTTTCACAAATAATTACTCTTTTTATCTTAATTTATGTGAAACAGTTTGAATTTCAATAGTCGAATAATTTAATTTTGACCACAACTTTTGACATAAATTTTAATAGTCAAATAAATTTATATATTTGAAAGCTACGTAACTAGTTGGTCAAACATAGCTATCGATTCAAAAAATTAGGAAATTAAAGTTAATTTAAGTGTTAATAGTTACTTGCCATGAAATGATTAACAATTTTTATTATTATTGTGTAAAGATTTCCTAAATGTTATCTACAAATATTTTATTATATTCTGTCCCAAATTATACAATGTAAATTTAAAAGGGTACACATTTTAAAGCGTATATGTATACTTTAAAATTTGTGATGTAAAATAATTCATATGTACATGTTTGTGTAACTATAAAATATAAATCATTTATTGAGAATGAAATTGATATTTTAATATTTAATTTTTACTAAATATATAAATATTTCATTTTTGGGATACTTACTAAAAGAAAAGGCGTGTAATATATTTATAACAATAGAAATACAAAATTATTGACCAAAATTAAACTAAAATAAGGAAAGTAAAGTTACAAGTATAAATATTACTTTCCCTAAGTATTCCTTAACAGTAAATTACAAACTCTTTAAATACATTTTTAAATTTAAAAAATAAATTAAAATATGAATCCAAAGTAGTTATAACTTCTCAACTTTATATTTTGTTAATTCAAAAGTAAATATCTTTTCAAGTTTTATCTTTATCCTAAATATTCTAAATATGTGAGGGTTAGAATTTGAAGTAAAATAATTTTTATTAACTACCCCACGTTCCAATCCCCCCTCCCAACCCTCACATACAATGTGTTGTAATCTAACTATCCATATATTATACTTGGTGGCCAATTATTTGCATGGAAAAAAGATATTCATGTATTATAATTGGTGACCAAGTATATATGCGTCTATATACAACACTCTTCTTGTAACATAATATAAGGCAAGATTAAGTGAAAAGAAAAACATTCAATAATAGAGAAAAACTACTATTATTAGGGGCGGATCCACATGGAGCCGAGGGGGTTCACCTGAACCCTGTCAATGGAAAAATTATATTTGTATGTATAAGATAAAATTTACGATTTACATATATATATGATTTGTTGAACCCCCTCAACATAAGATTAGTACACAATGCAGCGGTTAATAGGGATAAGGTCCTCCGATTTAAGCCGAGATCAAATCTCAGTGGAGGTGTTCTCATTTTGATTTTCTTTCTCTTTTGTTAAGACTTTTTCAAATAGGTTTATATTGTAAATTTATGGGTTTCTTCAAAGTGTTATATTAATACATAGTAATATTTCAATAAAAAAAAATGATTTCCAAGTAAATATTATTATATACTTAATAAACTTTTTAACAAAGATATTTACTTTAGATAAAAAAAAATATTGAATTTTAGTTCATTCATATATGATTTAACCTGTTTCTATCTAAATCGATTAGCATGCTTACTTTTTTTCGAACCCCCTGAACCAAAATCCTGGGTCCTCCACTGACTATTACTACAACTTTGCGTCTCTCTCTTTCTCCCTTTTTCTTCTTGTCATTTTATTTTACTACACATGCTTTATTTTATAACACGTTATCAACACGAGTCTCTTCATCTACGAGCATATTGGACTGTGCATTAGCCCAAACATAAATAACATGGAGTATATTCTATTTTTCTATATAAGTCTTGTTATACTTGATAGTCTAAATTTGATGTGTCTAATGTAATTATTGTTAATGTTATCATGGATCTTTGAAGCTGAATATTGGAAGGATAATTAGTATATACTTAATTGATAACCTTGTTGGAAGAATTGAACACACTGAAATCGCAAGAAGACTAAAAATGAATAACATGAATTTTTAATTTGGTTGATACTTTGTTGTGGTTATCACCTAGTAATACATAATTGTTTTTAAATGAGATATAAATAATTTAAGGAATGCATATCAAAATTTTAAAAAAACAAAAGAAGAAAAGGTATTAAAATTTCTAGTGTTGACCTACATTAACTTTGATCAACATCATTGATTATTTTTACACTTGTTTATCTTTCACTAGCTAATCATTTACTTCTTGATTTATTATAATATAACTTGTTTTAGTTGCTTTAAAAAGGTAAGAAAACTAATATTTGAGAAGTATTTTATTTTCTTTTGAAATCATCAAAAGGATTTTTCTGTCACGAAGGATTCTTTGAAGAGGCAATAGTATGTTATTTAGGTTGGCAATTAATAAATTTGTCAATGGTAAGCTAATGGTATATTTTTTGCTTTATGGTAAGCTTCCTTCATAATACTAATTCTATTAATTCTGATTTGTATATATCTAAAAATAAATATGCTAATTTTTTAAATCCATAAAATATGATAGATGTCATTGAGACAATTTGACATGTAGACTTTATTAGGTTCATTTATCAAGTGTTTATTTAATTTTTGAATTTTAAGGTATCATTTTATTGTGATGATTGGTGTTTACCTCTAGTTGTTTTATCTTCGAATTACAATTGAAGAAAAATGGAGTTAATGTTGAGAATTAATTTGTTGATCTTTCAATAAGTGAATTATTCATAAAAAATTTAAGTTGAAAATAGTGTTCAGAGCCATCTATGAGGATCGACTGTGCTTCGTTTAGCAAAGATAAATATTTGTATAAGATCTTTTGAAGTGATATGACTAAATTTATGTGTGCTATTAATAACAAAGCGACAATATTTTAAAGGCTTCAGGATGAATTTTATTTTATACTATATATAATGTCATTGATTGATGTAAAATGGTGTATTCAAATTTCACCGCATTAAAAGGGTAAGATATCGATTATCTTTCCTGTTTCCTGAAATATACCCTTCAACACCGATTATCTCAAGTGAAATCAAGTCCCTATAACCAAACGTTGTAGTTGACAAGCCAAAAGAGTATTACTAAATTAATTATTTAATTTGAATGTATATGTTTGACATGATATTAAAATAAGCACATGAGCATGTAATATTTTACTGTTAATTAAGACAACTTAGATAAATTATAAGTTATTGATTGATTTTATAGAAATAAAAAAGATATTTTATTATAGAGCGTGATTTCTATTTTAGTGGTGATAACTTTTTATTTTTGTAATGAAATACCTAAAATGTATTTAAGACCGTAATATTACGTCATTCATACAATAATCACATATACATTTTTTTTTTCAATTACGATCAATTCAACTTTTGAATGATTTAAGAGAAGACCAATAATCCAAATCCACTAGACTATCATTAATGGATAGGATATGATAGATAGGATCAATGGATCAGAGACTTCAAATCTTATCGCGGTAAAAGTAATATACTAATAGAAAGTATTAATTTCAAAGAATTTTATGTGATGCAAACTAAATTACTAGGAAAGTGAATATTAGTGTCGCAATAGTAATTCAAATTGATACGAAAGGAATTGTTAATTCACATTATTAATCATCACGATGGATAGTAGCGCGAAGCTATCGTGTGTTGAATTATGACTTCATAGTAGCGCGAACGCCTCCAAGTCAAAATTTGAACTAGAAGTGACGATGTGGCCGCCTTCTACTTGCCAACCCACAGTAGGGACCTTTTGATCCAAGGGCATGTATTGTTGGCTAAGTCATCATGACGTACAAAAGGGTCGCACTGACCACCTTGATGTACAATTTTCACATCGAGCAGCAAATGACTTAAATATGTAATGGAATATTGTATGTGATAAAGTGATCTTGCTATCACGATCCACTAAAATCAGTCATTTTTCGCTTCGATTCATTAAAGGAAAAGAAGGCAAGTGCATAACGAAAATCAAATTGTTATTGATAAAAGAGAAAAGACAAAAAAATCACCAATGAAGTTGTCTCGAATGTTCAAAAAGACACCTTAATTTTGCGGGCGTTCTATCCACAAAAGTATTGAATATCTTTATAAAAAAGGACTATTTTAAGCCATGCATTTCTCATCTGGTAAGACGCGTGTGAGCATATCACCTGGTATTGAATACCTTTCTTTTCTTTCTTTTGTTTTCCATTTCTCGACTTTTCATGTCTTTTCGATTTCTTGGTCAAGGGATAATGGAGTGGAGATAATCTCCTTCATTTTTGTCAATTCTTGGTCAAAATTCTTGGAGGAATAGCTGAGTAAACAAGGAATTGAAGGTTAACACGCTAGGGTTTTCTTACATTATTTGAAAAAGATCACATTTTAATAAGAAATTAAACCTTGAACAATTTCAAATTAAGTTTATTTACTGAAAATTAGAAGCGAATAGTTTTTGGGGAAGATGATGAATTCATCAGAGAGAGTTCCAACAGCTCTTTTGAGCTTGTTTTGAGGAAGATGATGAATTTAAATAAAGTAAATAATCAATAAAGAAAAAGCTGAAACCTGACATCTTTTAATTGTGTTTTAGCACAAAAAACAGACTTTCACGTGCGTGTTGTGTCTGTTCACAAATCATGTGAGAAAATGGATCAAAATGATTCTTTTACAAAGATATTCACTACTTTTGTGGAGTAATAGGACGACCGCAAAATAAGGTATCTTTTTAAAAATCTGAAACAACTTCTACGTCTTTTCTCTTGATAAAACAATTATACTAGATCAAGCCTCATTAAAAAAAGAATGACGGCCCTGAATCCTATAAATCTAAGCTACTTCCCTAGAACAATAAGTATTAATTATTTAGAAATGGTTACAGAAAATTATATTCCTAAACCTTCCACTTGATGTATATATGGACATATGGAGATAGGCTAGTGCACATGAATAAAAGTTTCTTTAACAAAAATTTCTCAACCCCCAAAGTGTTACAACTAGTGCCTAGTGGTCTGTTTGGTAGTATTTTCAATAATTGGCCCAAGATAATGTAATAAAATATCAACTATATCCATTTTTTCATCTTTATAAACCAAGAAATGATTCTACTTCCCTTACTTGTCAAGCCCACTTTACTAGTCTCCTAGCCCTTTTTGTTAATTTTTCCCTTGCACTTTCAACTATGTCTATAGTTGTAATAACCACTTCTCTCCTCATCTTCTTTGCGTACTTAACCAATGCAAATGACATGTTCTATAACAATAACAACAATAATAATATTGATGAGGAGGTAAAAGGTATATATGAAATATGGTTGGTAGAGCACGGTAAAATATATAATGGGCTAGGAGAAAAGGGGAAAAGATTCGAGATTTTTAAAGATAATTTGAGGTTCATCGAGGAACATAACAACTTGAAAAATCAGACGTATGTGCTAGGATTGAACCGATTTGCTGATCTCACGAACGAGGAATACAGGACCATGTTTTTGGGCACGAGGAGTGATGCTAGGCGCCGCCTTGTTAAGTCTAAGAACGCTAGCCATCGTTATGTTTTTCGGGCTAGCGATCATGTACCGGAATCGGTTGATTGGAGGAAGAAAGGTGCAGTTGCTCCTATTAAGGACCAAGGGAGTTGTGGTAACTATACTTTTTTATTTTTCGAGTCTATTCTTATACTTGCTATAAGTGTAGGATGTAACCTTTTTTAAAAAATATTTTTAAGTAACTAAAATATATTCTTTCTAATAGGTTAAACTTTTAGACTATCTTATCTGACATGATATTAGGAGACATGCATTGGAGTCACGCTGTCATCCATTATAAAAAATGGATCTCCACATGCATACTTTGCTTATCAAAAAGAATCATGCTCGCACCACTACTACAAACAAAAGTTTTTTCCACCGGGAATTAGTGAGAAATTTATGCTATAGAACATGATTTTTCCACTCATTTAACATCGAACCAGCTCACTGGATAAATACATGATGGGAAATAGATATTTTTGATCGATTCAATCAAAAATATCTGTGGAATTAGTTACTGAACAATTTTCGGTGGAAAAATAGTGATTCTTTTTAATAGTGTAGCGTTGAAAACACAAAAAAAAATTAAACCTAAATAAATAAAAAGTGTGATTTCTCTAATAACTTAGCATTGTTATCACTATGTGACTTTGATAGAGGTGTTTTGATCATTTTGATTTACAGGGAGCTGTTGGGCCTTCTCAACAGTAGCTGCAGTAGAAGGCATAAACCAAATATCAACAGGAGAAATGATCACCTTATCTGAGCAAGAATTAGTAGATTGTGACACAATGTATAATGATGGTTGCAATGGTGGCCTTATGGATTATGCTTTTCAATTTATCATATCCAATGGTGGTATTGACACTGAATCTCACTATCCTTACAAGGGCATCGACCACAAATGTGATCTTGTTCGGGTAGGTTTATTAATTTCGTTGAATACATCAGTAAATTTCATTTAGATATTCAAATTATAGTCCGTTCAAATTGAGTATTTGACCATATCTTAGGTGATTAACTAATCTACACAATAGTGCCTGAGAACACATGCACGAATTTATTTTAAAATTTGAATAGGAAGTGTCTAATATATATGCATATAGTAAAATCTCACTAAATTAATATTCGATTAATTAATAATCTCTCTAAGATAATAATTTCCTCCCGTCCCGGCTTGGGCCAATGGAAAAATTCACTCATTTCGATAAGATAATAAGATAATATATTTTCAGAAGACCCCTATATAAATATATGATCCATTAATATTATAAATTAATAATTCCTTAAAAGTACAAATATATCTAAGAAAATTTAGTGAAATATGATTCGATTATGTTCTGTTTTTTTGTTAAAATTTAAACTAATTGAAGTTCATCTCTAACTTTTCTAATTACATCCAAAAGTTTTGATGTTATCTTTTCTAATTGCACCATAAAATTGTGATGAGTTCTAGATGCAAATGTTTCTTTATGCGTAACTAGTTTCAAAGGTATTGTATTATCTTCAACTTTATCGTCAACATTGTTTTTCCAATGATATCCACAATTTTTTCTAAGCTCTGTACCTCTAAACATGTATCATTTTCACCCACAACTTTAACGTCCATTTTATCGCGGTACCGAGATCATTAATCATGACCTCAAGTTCATGAATGATGTTTTCACAATTGGGTTTTTTCAATTTCTTTGAGATTTCATCCTGAACAATTTTTTCAGTGTCGAAACACTCATTAAATTAATAAATATTAATTTATCGATTAAATAATACCTCTATAAAATAATAATATTTTATAATCCCGCCTATATTAATTTAGAGAGATTTTACTATAATAAAATATTCTATCATGGGTTCGGATGTTCAATTGACCATATTTCCAATATTCAATTTACTCATAAATTTAATTTGAAATGTGACAGAAGAATGCAAAGGTTGTGAGCATAGATGATTATGAAGACGTGCCAGCAAATGAAAATGCACTTGAGAAGGCTGTAGCGCATCAACCTATTAGCGTAGCCATTGAAGCTTCAGGCAGGGTTTTTCAGCTTTACTCCTCGGTAAATATTCATAAGCTTTTTATAATCTTAAATTTTTCTTTAACTGTTATAGTAAATAAAGTTCATCGATTATACGAGGAACTAACTTTGTTATTCTCGTACCTATGGAAACAAAAAAAAAAAAATATACAAAATGAAGCATTAAAAGAGTTTTGAGAAAATGTATATCTAGGTCAAAATATCATGAATTACAGTTGAAAAATAAAATAAAAAATAACTATTCAAGTTAAAGGAATAGATATTTTGTTCTCTAGGTCCTCTACGGTAGAATATACACCTATTCAATAATATAATATCTTTTCTAGAAAATACAGTCTGACAACATTGTATACTCAATAAATTTTGAATAAAATATTAATTCTGAAACTCCATCAGAAAAACACATTCGTTCAATAAGTCATAATGATCACATGAGTTATAAAAAATAATGACACTATATATTATCTTCACTTTTATGTCCACTAATATATTGCACTCCAGTATTTTGTTATTAATATGACTCTACCACCAACAATATATTTAATTATAAATGACTCTACCACCAACAATATATTTAATTATGCTTCAATCGTTATTTTATTTTTTTGAAATTGCTTGGTGATACTTGAGTCAAGAGTTTATTCGAACCAACCTCAATACTCTATGAGGTAGTGATAAATTTTCGTATATTTTATCATCTTGAAATTTTATTCCTGAAATCATAGTGAATATGTTACTCCGTATTATGCATTTGCTGACTTAAAATCTTGATTACGTCTCTATGTCGTCAGGGCATATTTACTGGAAAATGCGGAACGCAATTGGACCACGGTGTGGTGGTGGTTGGCTATGGCACAGAAAACGGAGTGGACTATTGGATCGTGAGGAACTCATGGGGCACTAATTGGGGCGAAGATGGCTACATCAAAATGGAGAAGAATATAGAAGCCACAAATTCTGGCAAATGTGGAATTGCAATGATGGCGTCTTATCCAATTAAGAATGCCATAAACAAAATTACTATGGGAGAAGACGGGATTATAAGAAGTACCTAAAGAAATAAAACTGCCACAAAGTGGATTACTTGGGCGTTGTTACTCCATGAGCATTATTTGGGCATTCCTTTTAATGGATTTGTCTTAATATATGTATGTTTATTTAAGGATCAAAGCCTTTATTTTATATGTTGACAAAGTTAAACAGAGAAATCAGTGATATCATACATATTTTTTTTACTAGAATAAGAAGTACTATACTTACCAACCAATGCTTTTGCATGACCTTCTCTCTTTTCTTTTTTCCTTTTTTAAAAAATGGAATCCATCCACTCAGGGAGGATCAAAGTCCAGCATAAATGTTTCTTCACCCTTCTCTAAAAGTTGGTCAGTTGTAGCTTGTTCATGCATAATATGCCCCTTGCCTCCAAAGAGAGTCCATTTTCATCAAGAAAGATTTTTTGCTTTTGTGCGGTTGTAGGGAGGATCAATTCCTCACATTATGAATTCACATAATAAATAATACAAACATTATAACTCTTGCACAACTAGTAGGTTAGTCAAAAATATGGAGGCCTCTTTTGATATTCATCACCCTATGGCATATTCTGATAAATCTTTTTAGGCTTATCTACTAGAGGGTCTTAGTAGGTGTTATCATGACCCTAGTTTTTGGATCGTGGCAAGTTGGTATCATAGTCCTAGGTCACCAATGCAGATAGTGCAAAGCTAATGTCTAGTAGTGTCCTGCGGATCGGTGCGAAGACGTTTGTATTCTATCTTCGGGAGGCTATAGGTCATCTTTAAGAAGATTCTAATTTCATTTGATTCTATATCATGTGTCCTTAGTCCTGTGTGTTTCTAAAATTCTCATTTGTTTCATTCTTTCAAAGATGTAGCGCAGGAGAGGTGCCGCAGATAGGACGATTCTCCTGGTCCGACAAATAGAGCCCAATTAGGGGTAGAGTTAGAGGTCGACCCTAAGGTTGTGCACGAGCGGCAACACCCCTCTGAACAGGGCTGACTCAACAACATTGGGGGCCTAAAGCGAAACTTATTAAGAGAGGGGCCCTAATATTTTATTTTTTTCATCATATATCCTTTTATTTAAAATATATTTTTCTAGCTATTTTAGATGCAAAGTCATTAAGTACTGTTTTATAATCAACCTGTTTTAATAAAAAAAATCAAATGATTATATAGCTAATTCATTCAATCTCTCTTGAGACATTGTTGATCTTAAAGAAGATTTAATCAATTTTAATTTCGAAAAAAAAAAACGGTTGAGACAACGATTACAGGAACTGTTAACATTATCCTATAAGCAATATGTGTATTTGGAAAAGAATCAAGTTTTTTTATTTGATTGAGTATTTTCATTAGATCATTATCTTCTACTTGTATTATTTCTCTTAACACTTTTAATTCAAAAAACAAATCTAAACCATCAATATCAAAATAACTATTATGGGTTAAAGAAAGTTCAAGGTTAAGACAATATTTTTTTAAAATTTTCATCATCTAATAATCTCAATATTTACCACTAAATAAGAAATCAAAAATATTCGTATATGCTTCAATTGATTCAAATCTATTTTGAAGTATAAAAAATACTTTGATCTACTCTACATATATAAAGTAATCAACTCTAAAGATTCTTCAAGGGACTTAGTGATTTTCTTATTCATATTTTCATCAAATTGTTTCTTACGAAAATCAGGTTTATATTCATCACATATGTAATTTCCTTAGTAGAAATCATAGCACTCATAGTATACATAAATTTTTTTAAAATAAAATATATAAGTAATTGTTGTAGACGGTGAAATTTTATTGATAAATCCATATTAAATTTTGGATTAATCCATAAATTCATGATATATTGACCAAGTCAAATTACTGGTTAATAAAGTCAGATTAATATTTAAGTCAAATCACAGTTGGGTCAGTCCATTAAGTTGACAAGACGAGCCCAACTCATGTTCTTCAAACCTAAGGACCAAAATTGCTTGGACAAAAATACCCATAAAACCCTAGCTCAAGCCTATATAAAGAGGTCTTCATAAGACCAGAAGGAAGGAGGAATAAAAAGAAGAAGACACATAGAAATACATAGAGAATCCTTGCTCTTCAGTGGTGATCTGCAAGTCTTCCACATACAAAGAAGTCTTCGCTCCAAGTGTTGAGCCGCAAGTACAAAGAAGTCTTCGCTCCAAAAGTTGAGCCGCAAGTATTCCATCAAATCAAGAACATCATTGAAGAGAAGAATCAGAGGATTACATATCTTTTCTTAAAGATCTTATAAAGATTGTAACCTTCGCATAAATTCAAATACAAATACTGTTGTTTGCTTGCTATTTTCCTTTCCTGTTTTGCTGTATTTCAGGATTGAAACTTTAGACGCTTACAAATTGGCACGCCCAGTGGGACAATCTTTACCTCTCATCTCTTCTCTTCAAGAAAATCAAAGTTCAAAAACACCTAGATGACTTTCAAGAAGAACAACTCAAAATCTGCATCTGCATCTAAATCTGGATTTGCATTCGTATCCGCATCTAAATCTGGATCTGCATCTGTATCCGCATCTGCATCTGCATCCGCAAAAACTGATGGATCCAAATTATGCATTGCCGAGGAAAACATCTTTGATATTACTACGGGAAGCATGCGACCTGTCAGAAGGAACCAAGCCAAATTGCTACGACAACAAACCTCCCGAGTGCCGTCCAAATCTGCTATTGTCTTTGGTTCATCTCCAAAAGGTGTAAAGTCTCCTGCAAAATCCGCAAAAGAAAACATCGCTGAAATGGTCGAGAGGGTTCTTGCCCAATTGAGCCTATCGACATCCAAAAAGTCATTCGCTTCAGCCGACAATGATGTCTTAAGCATATGATCTACCCCGTACAAGATGTTTGCATCTCATGTTTGGGAAAATCAATGTTATTCTCCATCACCTACGATGGTAATGCACACGATGGTGGTCGAAACTTCCACAATAGAAGACCAACTTGCAAATTTGATGAAAGCAGTTGAAGGCCTATTAACGTACATCAAAGGTCAAGACATCCAAATTACCAAGTTGACAAACATGATGGAGAATGTGGAGAAAAGAGAATCCACTCAATTATGTGCAATGCTTCATGAAACTCAGGAGAAAATAGAGTCCTTCGCAAAACAAGAAACAATTATCAACGAGTTTCAAGTGTCTGCCGAAGGTCTGATTCCTATTGACAAATTGAAGGACTTCCTAAAAGAGGCTATCAAAGATAAATCTGAGTGCACATCAAAGTCTCCTCTCACATATGCAAAGCCGTATTCTCAGAGAATTGATAACCTAAAAATACACGTTGGCTATCAACCTCCTAAGTTGCAGCAATTCGACGGCAATGGAAATCCAAAACAACATGTAGCACACTTCGTCGAAACTTGCAATAATGCTGGAACATATGGTGATTATCTTGTTAAGCAGTTTGTTAGATCTCTCATGGGAATTGCTTTCGAATGGTACATAGATCTTGAGTCTAGTTCTATTGATAGCTGGGAGCAGATGGAACAACAATTCCTTAAGCGTTTTATAGCACAAAGAGTGTTGTGAGATTGATAGAGATTGTAAACGCCCGTCAAAGGAATGATGAACAAGTCATTGACTTCATAAATCGCTGGAGGAGCTTGAGCCTTAACTGCAAAGATCACCTTAGTGAAACTTCTGGGATCGAAATATGCATCCAAGGTATGCATTGGGATCTTCGTTACATATTGCAAGGCATAAAGCCTAAAACGTTTGAAGAACTAGCAACGCGTGCTCATGATATGGAACTGAGTATGACTTCAAATGGAGATCAAGAGTTGTCCAACTTCGAAACTTACAAAAGAAATATATTGACATTGAGGATGAGGACAACTTTTCATCCGAAACCGAAATTGAAGAGTCTATGTAAGTTGATGTGCTCCTTGATGTACGAGCCTAAACTGCAAATCATAATGCTCATCGACGTACGAGCCTAAACTGCATGTCATGAAACTCATCAAATTCAAGCTAAATTTTGAAGCTCCAAAGCTCCTCAAATTCCGAGTTAACTTTTCAAATCAAAATACTCATAGCTTATCAAATTCAAGCTAAGTCTTCATGGCGTAAAACTCATCAAATACGAGATAAATCTCCATGTCGTGAAGCTCGTTGAGTTTAAGCTGTCTTCAAGTCACGAGGCTTCTCAAATTTGAACAAAATCTTCAACTTTCAAAGCTCATCAAATTCGAGCAAAATCTTCAAATCAAAATGCTTATTGACGCACAAGTCAAAAAAATATATGTCATGAAGCACATCAAATTCGAACTAAGTTTTCAAGTCAAGAAGTTTCTCAAATTGGAGCAGAATCTTCAAGTCTCAAAGCTCATTAAATTCAAGCAAAAATTTCAAATCAAAATGCTCCTCGAGGTATGAGCCAAAAATGCATGTCATAAAGTTCATCAAATTCTGTTGAATCTTCAAGTTTCAAAGCTCATCAAATTCGAGCAAAATCTTCAAGTCAAAATGCTTCTCGACGCATGAATCTAAAATGCATGTTATGAACCTCATCAAATTCGTGCTAAGTCTCAAGTTTCGAAGCTCTTCAAATTTAAGCTATGTTTTCAAATCATGATGTTTCTCAAATGCGAGCCAAGTCTTCAAGTCAAGAAAAGCTTCAAATTGTTACTTTTGGCCCTCATAAATTTAAATATATATGGTCCAAAAAAATCTAATAGGTGAAAACCTTGAAATAAGGGGCCTAGAAAAAATTAGAAAAAAAAAACTCACATGTTTTGCATGGAAGTGTAAAGTAAATACATGTTATTGCTTCAAAATTGCAAGAGTTTTTTACACATCATAAAGAAGGGATGAAAAATGGACATATTATCCCATACAAAAGGTCTAAGTAGAAAAAAAGAATCAAATATCAAGAAGTGGTTTGTCAACTCCTCTTGGATGTCTTTATCAAGTTCGCATCACCTCTTCATCAAACATCATTGCTTCAAATGTTTTTTATGGATCGATGCAGCCATAACTGAGCCTCTATCTTTGACACGAGGGCATATTTTAAAGTTTGATTTAATGAGTTGATAATGTGACAAGTAATTCCTCTCCAAAACTAGGACAAACTGCGACAAAATTTCTTTCTCTCCAAAGCCATAACTATAGAGGAAGAGGTACAAAGTGTGATTCATCAC